CTATCGCCAGTAAGTTTATTGAGACGACAAATTTAAAGATAGATAGATTTTTCTATCTCCAGTAGGGCAAAACAAGGGATAGATAGAATATTGGGAACGGCCGTTAGACTTTGTTTAACTTCAGACAAACTCGTTACATTTTGCTTGGGAGCACAGTTCAAGTGCGGTTATGTTATTTAGCCTTACACGTCTATAAATAGAAGTGAAGCACTTTCGAATGTGATATTGAGATATCGGAATTATTACAAGCAATAATAATGTACACAATTATCCGTTGTTGTTTGCCAAAAACTAAATTCGTTATTGTTACCAAGTCTGAACTCTGAATGGAACGATAGTATGTAAAGTTCAACAAAAAGTTCAACAATAAATTACTCAGTCGTTATTACAGGTCTTTAATCCTTAAAAGGAACACAATCAAGCCACGATAACTGTGTTATATATAAACTTCTTTATTTTAATATCAGTTTAATTGGTCAATACCTAGTTCAAAACTTGATCCTGGGGCGGTTTCCTGAGCATGTCAACGTCGTGATATAGCTTTACAATTATACGCGCACATTGCGGTGTGAGGTGCAATGCGCAAACTCCGGAACATGGCGGTATTACCAAGGAGTATTCATTACTCATATGCCTAGCCTAAAGTGACAGACTATCTGCCAAACACTTATTAGAAATGAGTGATTTTAAGTCCATACAAATTTTACGATTAAATTCAATAAAATCATTATTTATTTTGTCTGGTATGAGAATCCTGGGACCTAAGATAAGTTACCTGCACTTTAATAATATGAATATAGTATTATGAACATGAAGGTATAATTGGTTATACGGTCGTAGTCTTCTTACCTTGTTTCATTATGCAAATAAGTATATTCGTAATGCAACGACCTCATGACCGCTAATTTGTATCTGTGGGTGGCTTATCATTGTCTAGACAGATATAGTATAAGTGCATTCGAATTTGAATGTAATGTTTGTATATAGGATGCTAATACTAGTGGAGGCTCGGGGTGGCCCTGGTCGGCGGCAGGGTAGTTGAGCCGCGCCCAGGTGTTGTGTGCCCGCGCCACGGTACGGCGCGGCGGCAGGTCAATGGCATCACCCGCCATACTTTTTTACTCTATTTCTCACTCGCAAGTAATTCGATCGGTTGAATGCATATTGTACAGAAAGCAACTTGCTTTGCGTGTCATAATAAATTATTACCAACGTTTGACGACGCGGTATAATTTGAGCTTATGTGAATTTGTATTTTCTGACACGAAATGATACCTGACGAATAGATTATTTATTAGATATACATAGTCGCATTTGACTTTGAGAACGTGTAAGTATTATATTTTATAATTTATATTAGGCAAATGACTCATGTTGTCAGTCCTTGCAAAATTGTTGCAGGACTTGCTTAAAATCAATAAAGAATCAGTTAATATCATAGTGAAGTATCCATTACATTATTTACATTACCTATACCTATGCGTTTGTGAAGAGTCATTAATATTTTTAATCGGAATAACTATACAAGTTTACAGGTAACGATATTCTATTTTGTAAATGTGCTATTTAACAGGGTCCTCAATTGCTATTTTCATTTTGTTAAAAACAGTGGGACGATACACCTCTACCCATAATGGCGAAAAAGCAATAAACTATTCAATATAAGAAAAACATGTTATACAATATGAATTATCAGACGTATAATGTAGATTCCACTAATTACGATATTTCATGTGCAGGTGGGGGGCCACACTAGACTGTTGGTGCTAAACGACAGTACCGTAATCAAGCCGCTCAATATTCGCGAGTTGCATTTCTACCAGAACATTCCCGAAGACATCCAGAACTTCGTACCCAGATACAAAGGTGAGCATCACACTCCTTTGTCGCGTTGACCACGATTCAATATGGCCGACCAGTACGCTTTTACGATTCGCTGAATGCATCATGTTCATTCATTGCATCTTACATTATTCTTTAATTATAATGATATTATCCGTTTTTGTTTACATATCAATTGTGTTGTTTAAATGTCTTTGCATTTGAAGCACTAAGGAAGTTATAGATTTTATAATATTATGAATTGTCACAAATTGATTAAATATTGCCGTTATCTGTTTTCCACAGCCTTGTGAATATCGTGTTTACGAAACATGGATGGTATCGAATTGGCAGTTGGTATATCGATCGTTTCGAAACATTACACATGTTTCAGGTGCTTTTGATCGATTGCTACGTATATTTATAATTATTTATTGTTTTATCTCTTGCGTCATTCGGTACTTAAGATTATCTAATGTAATCGTAATTCGATCATGAAGCTGTGAAATATGATAAAACTAGATTGGAAAACTTTCCTTACTGCTTGATGATCGTAACCATCATTTTCAAATTGAGTATGAGAGAGAATGTGTGAATGTCGAACGAAGCAAACCCGCCGACCGCTAAATTATACTGTGCTCCGACCTATTCAATATCCAACGTGTCTGAAATCATGTTGAAACTCTTTTTGTTTATGACATATGGCTAATATTGATATTTAATGTAATTGCTAATGTGTCTAACATAACTATACTTATGCAAACAACAAAACAGGCCCTTAGGTAAGTATTACAAGAATAATACTATATTATTTTCTGAACGATGATATTATTTGAGGGTACCTACATTATGTTTGATAAAATCGTTAAAACTGGTTTAGCCTATTTCTATTTATTAGAACTTGTACTTACCATAATTATTTCTTGGATAATAAAAAAAAAACACTCCAATCATGCAATAACCTGGCACATTTATGCTAAACCAGAACATTTGTGGCCCCGAATAAGTAGAAATATTTTTTAATAACAACAGTTAATAATGTTGTTAATTCTTTCACGTTACCGTTGGTGCACAATGTGGCAATATAAATAATGTTTTTAATAGTACATTAACAGATTTACTGGAAACGACACTTGCTAACTTTGCCCAGTTAAGTATACAAACATTGCTCACATTGTGCATCATAATACATTTGAACTTTTACTGTGTTACTGCGTTCTCGATTCCTATCCGCAAGAATGGCATGCGCGTACCTACTCAATGTGAACAGACAACGTTGTAACGTAATCGTTATTACTTAGTTTCCATTTTATTTTAATTTGCTAAATAGAAACTGTTGGTAAGTGATATTAGTTCAAGGCTGGTGGTAGCGGACGCCAGTTTTTGTTCTATGGGTTGTTGTTTGGTTTGGTGTTGTATGTTTAGTTAGTT